CCCCAAAACCCCAAAACCCCAAAACCCCAAAACCCCTTGATATTAAAATCAAAATGAAAAATCATTTTTTTAGAAATCTTCTATGGCCAAGGTTAAGCTGTTTACACACTTTATTTGATCACCTACAATCTCAATAATATACAGATGTACAAATTCACACATTTAAGATTAAATTTTGAGCCTAATATTATGGATAGTAACAGCCAGGCCAAAGAATAAAAATTCACAAAATAAGCAGCCTCAGGATGCCTTTGAAAAGTACTTAAAACCTGGTATTTCTAATGTTAAAATTAATTTATCCACTTGTAAGAAAGGGGTGTTTAGTCAGCACTCAAGAATGCCACATTATATTCTGAAAATATCAGAAATGCTTCTAGCCATCATACCAGAATCAAGAATCTCTGTTTTTAAGATAAACACAAGCTTGGAATTGTCATTAAATCACTGGCTTCTAAGATATCAAAAAAGCTAGAGCTTAATTCAGAACTTAAAAAGAAATATAAGGATGTTGTGAAGAATTTGGACGAGGTTAAATCTCGACTTTGTGCTCAAAGCCTTCAATCCCATAAAAACTTCTTAGCAGAGAGCTAAGAATGCTCAGTAAGAGGAGAGTGAATCCGAGAAAGACAATATTATTGGGATATTAACAAATGAGCTACCCAGTCCTCCTTTAGACTAAAAAGATATGCGGAAAGTTTCTGCTCTGAAATACCTTCAAAATATGAAATAGATGCTCCAAAAATTTGGGAGAGTAACAAAGTTATAAGAATAGAAAGCAAAACCTTATTTGAGCTATCTAAGCTCAGAGTGTAAATTAAAATGCTTTCCATTAACCTCAGAGAGCTTGACTTTCTTATTTAAGTCAGAAAGACTTACAGATTATATACTTACAATGGCGAGTAAGTATTTTTTCTAAAATTTAGAGCTTCTTTATGCTCAGAAGAAGATGACTTTAAGAACACAAAATATAAGAAAAACAAACAGAAGACCTTCCAAAATGAATGATTTAGAGGATACCTCTCACCAGAAGGCTTTGTTCCATAAGAAGCTATACTGTAGTGATATAGATGAGGTTTAGATTACCCAGTCATTCAACCAATCTAATCCAAAACCTATCAAAAATAACACATCTCAAAATATGAAGTAAGAAGATCATCAAAACAAGGTAGTACTCCAGACTGCAAGGTTGGAGTCAAGCCACAGTTTTATATACACTCTCCTAGTTTCAAATGACAGAACATTTAAGAGTGGAAATCTGCCCAAAGCAAAAGCAGAACCAAAGATTGGCTCAAGAATCGAGAGTCCGAAGTCCTGAACTGCAATTTCTGCTTGCAAGACCAACTTATCTTCAATGAGACAGAGGTTAGAATTTTTAAGGGTGATAAAGGAAGAAGGAACTTAGGTGTTCTAAGCTATCGTAAATCTCTTTGCAAATATATAGGAAATATTCCATGAAATTATTAAATGTAAAGTAAATGTTAGATACTTTTCCTAATGTGAGCATTTTTGTTCCTCCAAATACTCAAAGTTTGCTCAGAATTTTTTGAATATTACTTAAGTATTTCTTCATCCCTAAAGAATAGTGAATGCTCTTTGTTTGTAAAAATTGAAGTAAACTAAAAATATTAAAATTGAGTAGAATTGTTCTTCTAATATTGAGCCAATAGAGATTTCAAACGAAACCCATTAAATCCCTAACACAATGTTTTATTTAAAAGCACAAAGCCAAATCATCAAAAACAACAAAATAGGGTTAACCCTGCTCATCAAAGCACAAGAAGGGTACCAAAGCCTTGGTAGATGTTCATCCCAAAGTCCAAAGCTAGCCCTCCAAAACCCATCCCCTAGGCTGCCTTCTAACAACCAACGAAGTAGTCACGAGTGCTGGTTCAGTTAATTTCTTCCTCACTTATTCAAACTTCTGCAGGCACGCTTAGGAAGTAATCTGTGTAGTCCTAATTCCTTATTTTCACTTTTACTCACTGAAAGAGGGGTTTTGGGGTTTTGGGGTTTTGGGG